CGAAAAGCGAGGGCAATGAGATCGTCCAAAGACAGTCCGTCATCCTTACAAGCAAGTTCAGACAGAATTTCTTATGAAAAGTCACTATGAGAGCGGGTTCACTCCAGCCACTTCCGGCTGCTAAAGTTCAGAACTCCAGGGAGTAACCCGCTACAGAACGTGAACCCTGGATATGCGATAACAATTCACCTTGGGAGCATCCTTTATTGGGATGATCAAAAACAGCCCTAAAGCTCTGCTTTTCAAAGAGATGGGTTAGCACTAACTGACTTAACTGGGAGGAAAGGGATTTAATATCTGAGGAGATCTGCAGAAGCTGATTGTGTTGTTCCAATTGCTGATGAGTAAGCTTACCCACAGTCCCAGACATCGACTCAAACAGCCGATTATGTTGTGCCAACAACTGGCCTTCATTGCTGATGGTGCTGTGGAGTTCTTTCACATCCGCCATCTTTGGTTGTAGCGAGGTATTCTGTAACGCTGAACAAGCACAGAAAGACGCTCGCAGATCTTAAAAACGAAAGTTGGTTTGATGAGAGAACAGAGTCAAGGCAAATCCAAAATCAGTATCCAAAGACAGGCAAAAGTAAAAAAAACAGAAAATACAAAAACACAGGCAACCAGAGCAAAAGGGCAAATCTAAAAGAGTAACAATCGAAAAACAGGCAATGGGTTCAGTACACAGGTCATGAAATCAGAAGAGAAATGCTCCGTAAACCAGTAGAGTGGAAATACCTCACAAAGAGGAGAATAAACCAGGATCCTTTTAAAGTCTAAGACAAACGGATACAGGTGTGTTGAATTAGTAGTCGGGTGACTGAGAATGAGGCAGAGGCCTGTGATTGGTGGAAGGGGTGACGTCATGAGGATTGGGATTCTGGGAAATGGAGTCCTGGAGCGTGTTAGGCAAGCACATCCTTACTCTGCTATCAGGTCAAATTTGATTTACCCAGATAATAATAATATTAATTCATAAACATTTAGGGGAGAGCATTTAAAGGGGTTGACTGGCAGTTAGCATTCTCTGCCAAATATCCCTGGAATATCCCATACATTATGTTAACTACCTTTAAATATAAGTTAAATATCTAAGCTAAAAACAGACAATTTCACTGTCAGAAAATATCTCCCGGAATTAAAGCTTTCATGACTTAATGCATGTTGGGCACTTGTGCCAACCAGCCCCAACATGGAGTTGGTTGGAACATGTTATAGGGATGGTTGGCACAACATTGAAAGAACTATGACTTCAAGAAAGTGAGCAACAATTAAATAATCAGAGCTCTTAATATAACCCAAACCATGAATATGAATACTAAATGGCAAAATAATATTTTTGAATCAATTAAATGTCAGGAATGTTTAATTTGTTTTATCAGTGGCTTATACTGAACTTTGGTAGACAAGGTAAAAAACCTCTGTACTTGAGTGAAAGTAGAGAAACCCTTCATAAAATAATACTTAAAGTTTTGTATTTGTATTTGATATTTCTCACATAAGCAGTTTGAGGTCAAAGTTGTGTTATTTTCCTCCTGAGACAAAAACAACTAGTTTAAAAATTTGAGTACAATTATTATTAATACATTCTAGTTGTGTTATTTGATGTTATTTGATATTAATTGGTATGTATACAGCATTTAATACAAAACAAGACACTCTGAACTAAACTTTATATTTCCATTTTTAATTTTTAATTTTTAAAACTTGCCAGCTGTTTTTTACACTAGGTATAAAAACGAAAATGGTCCAAATTACTTGGAAAAAAAGTCTGGTTATACTGATGTACATTAAAAGTTAAGTGTTTTTGCCTTGTTCTGTAAAGTTACCATGTTGGAAATGCACGGTTTTGTTCCAGCAGCGATGACATTTGTAACAATAGCCACACACTTATGCAAGATGACCATGTGCCAACCAACCCAACCCACATCTGGACACAGTTCTGTATCTACTTCATATTAGTTAGATAGCATTCCTTAACTTTGGGATTCAAATCAAAATATAGCTGTCAATAAACTCATGTCATTTCTACTAAATAAAATCAATGTTTTCATTATTTCAATATTTCTATAAATTCCACTATTTCTTTTTTCATTTTATACTGCAATTTTTTAAACCTTTTTTTTTTTTTACTTTGCTCATCTGTTAAACTTACTAATGCAAATCTAGTGCTACTTCTTGTAAGATGCTTTAGTAACTTAAGGAAATTGAGTTAAGATCGGTGAATTTGTATAAGTCCTGCTGACTGAAGAGTCTCTTAGCCAAAAAGCTTCCCAGTATTTTGAGCAGTTTAATTGGTTTCTGTTAATTAACCCTCTACTGCATGCATTATGAGAGCAATTTAAAAAAAATATTTGATTCACTTTTCTGGCATAAAATGGACCTGATTATTACATTCAAAACCACTGAAAAAAATGCATATGTGCAGGGGTCCTTTTGGGGCATGTTGCCTTGAGGCAACATTGTGTGACAATAGAAAGAGATGATATGAAGCCGTGTTCCCAGAAATGGTGAGACCTGGCTCATGACTGGCTAAATCCATTCCACTGTCGCACATTGTTGCTTCTAGGCAACAAACATATTTCTGCAAATTCTCATAACAAAAAAAATTACACTGAATGTTAAAAAGAAGCTTAAAAGTGCCCACTAAGACATAATATGACCAAGTACATGCTTTTTATTGACTTATTCAAACTCTTCCTTTTATTGTTTATCCTATTTTTATCTTTACATATGTTTAATGTTATAATAGAGTGAGGAAAATGAGTTTGTTGCCCTGAGGCAACATCGTGCAATAGAGGATTAAGTCTTCATTTTTCTATAGTTTTCAAAGCATAATATTATTTTTGTGTCAAAGAATAATCTCACGCTAAAACATTTAGTTTGGATGCATTTGATGGTTTTCTTATTCTCACCATGATGGTCTTTGGAGCTCAGGTTTATCAGTTCAGAAAAACTACTACACCTTCAGAAATAAAGGTTCTGTGCAGGTACATTTTTCATTCATCAAGGTACAAACAATTTAACTGTTCCCTCAAAGGTACAACAGTGGTTTAAAGGTCCAATTGTGCACCTTAAATATGTTTTTCCAGGTGAAAAGTTCATATTTGTACCTTTTCATAACCAAATGTTTTAAAACAGAACAATAAAATAAAAGCCTGGAGACGAGACGGGGTGTGTGGAGTCAGTACAGCTTAGAAAATATGATTTCAGTGGATTATGGCACAGTTATGTTCCCTTACTAAAGGTACTGAGATGAATCTCTGGCTGATCTAACGTTGCATCCCAAACCACACACTTCTGTACTTCACCCACTACACTAATGAGGGCACTCCTGATGGTATATGCGCTATTTTTACACTCTATTTAGTGTGCTCGTATGCGGTTTGGGACGGCGCCAGAAACGCAGCAGGAAATATCAGCTGTTTAGATTTCAGCTATCACTACAGCAACAAATCAAATAAAATCAAGGTAATACACTCAAATATATCAGTTAATACGCGTTAAAAGTGAGATTTAAAAAGTTATTAAAAAAAAATTATTTTACTGCCTTTGCTGGATCGTTTATAGCTTGATCTCATTACAAAATGTCAAAGCACTACTGAATAAACGTGATGTTGTCCACCGAAATGGTGGCCATGCGACTGTGATGCCATTGGATTACCAATTAATGGCAAAGAAGTACACACAACAAGGCAAAACAGTACCAGAAGAAAACTTTTTTTGTTGTTGTTTTTTTTGATTTACCAGTATTTTACTATTTTATTTGTCATCAACAATACATGTAAGAACTCAAAGACATGGGTGGGTTCACTGGTCCTCATATAAAAAGGCAATATCACTTCATATGCCATTCTCATAACATAATAAAATTGTCATTGTCTTCTGAAGACAATGGAATATATTTTCAAGTTTTCTCAAAATATACACATAATTTGAGATCACAAAATCAAAATGTTTTCCTGAAATGTGAGGCCATGATACTCAAAACACATGGAAACCCTGGCCACAGTTTACCTGGTCAGGAATCCAATTTTTTTTCTCCTTTGCTGGATTCTATTTTGTTTTTGCAAGATCTTGAGCTATTTCTGTCATTATCACAAGTTAACAAACACTGTTTTCTCATGATAAGTTTGTTTTGTTTATGTCAAGATAATGGCATAAACAGCTCAAGATCTTGAGTAAACAAATACAAACATGAGAAAATAGTAAATAAAATTACTGTACTTATTGTTATATTTTTTAAAGTGACTTCTTTGATGAGGAGCTCAACAGACAGTCTCTGAATTCAACTGGAGAAGCCTATTGGCCTATTAGCCTATTAACTATCTGCTGAGCAGGTCATGTTCTGTTTATGTTGTAGCTGTAGCGCAACTCAAGATAGAAAAACATATTATTTCAAAAAGTGGTGGGTACATGCCCACCACTCCCCCCTTCCCTCCCTCTCCCCCACCCTCCCTCTTTTCCTCTCTCCACTGTCCCTCCAGACTTTTTATAGTACACAGCCCAAACACATGAACAAAACAGGTTCTTCTGTCTCAGGTTCTTCCGTATTGACTATGTTCATTAGAAATTACATAAAAGACAACAGCTCAAATTTCTTGGAAAAAATTCTGGTAACGTTAATTTGCCAGAAGACATGACAAACTGTTTTTTCCATACATGGTATGGATATTATTTTTCAGATAACGTTCTAAAGTAGGTGTGTCGTATCCTGACTACAATGCTTTCAATCAAAGTTATCACAAAATTTATTTGGTGAGTAATGTCTCAAGAATTGTTGCGTTGTCCTCTACAGCATAATGTTGTTGGTCCACTTTACATGCAAAATCTCACAGGTGGCCTCTTTTAACCTCAGTTTCACAGACAATAATGTCATGGTAACATGCTTAAAAATAAAATAAAAAAAAACTGTCAAACGTTCCAATGAACTGAAGTGGGGGCGTGGACTCTTGTTGGAGAGATATGTCATCCAGTACCAGAGAAATTCTCCAGCAGGTTTATGGAAACAGCAGAAACCTGTTGGTGCAGGTACTCGGCTTGAAAAAAAAGATATGCACGGCTAAGAGAGGCGGCAGAGATTGACTGTCATTCAGCGGCACGACAGCAGCACTGCGAGGTAAGTCATTTCCTAGTACTGACTCTTTCGTATGTAAATTTCATGTCAAAGTTAGTCCAAGTAGGTGATGCATTAACCACTGCAATTAAGCTCAAACTAAAACTACCTTGAAATACTTTGTGGTCCACATTCTGTTCAGCCTGAAACAATTAAGAGACGCGCAATAGGAGAAACCTGGGCAGATAAGCGTCTACATCACAGAAAAACTGTCAAAGTACAGTACAGAACAGTCGCATTTCTTGGAGTAGCAGAGGAGCACCAAAACTTGAAGATGCAAGGTCGCCTGCGTTTACGTCCATGGCTGGAAGAACAGATCAAGTCTGGCAAATACCCTGGAGTCATGTGGTTGGATGAAGTAAGATTCAGTGATTTAAAACTTGAGTTTGAAATGTATGTATGTTTAGCTATAAACTGTATAACAGTCATGATACATACTACCTGCTAATCAATTGAAAAGTGCATAAAGTGAATCTACAGTAATGCAAAAGTTTGAACATGCCCAGTGAAATGACACATTTTGTTAAATTTTCTGAGTAAAATTAAGCTAACGTACCTTTACAGGAATCAAACTTAAACATAACATGAAATAAAACATGAATATGCCACAACTATAATGTGCACAGGCTACAGTTTATGTTTTATACACTAAATTTAGCAATTAACCAGTAACTGCACATTGAAATATATATATAGGTGTGTTCTCTGTAGAGGATGTGTTCACTTAATAAATCAACATGTCATTTGATTATGAGCTCCTTAACTTTTGCATACAACTGTAAATATCTGCTTCTAATTATTCATAGATATCCCACGTCTATGAACTACATACTTCTGCTACCGATCATGTAGTGTCTAAAAAACCTGCTACTGAAAGATGTTTCTTTTTATTGTTAACTTCAGGCCATTTTAAAAAACTGTTCACCTTCTTGCACCACTTCAAACTTTAGACTGCCAGGGTCTTCCAGATTCCTTGGAAGCATGCTGCTCGACACGGATGGAATATAGACAAGGACGCCACTTTATTCCGAAACTGGGCAATCCATACAGGTGAGGGGCAAGTCCAGGCACCAGTGGACAATGTCTCTGATTACGCCTCCAACGGTTTTCCCCCATAACACGCAGATAATGTTGCAAACTTCCTCCCACATGACTGAGCTACTGTAAACCAGCCACCTCAGCTTGCCTGAAAGTAAATGAGATTTGATATGGATCCTCTGACAGCTTGATGTCAGATTTAAAGTCCATATGAAATATGAGAGGAATACTTAACATAAGCAAAGTGTTTCATATAAGCAATTCAAGCTATATTATAGTATGTAAGGACAGGACAAAACACAATATTGCTAATTATACACACACACACACAAATATATATATAACCCAATTTCCGCTTGACAACCCCATTTCACACACAAACACACTCACTCACTCACTTCTATGATCTAATTTTTTCAATCCCTGATTTCTGTATTGGCTGATTTACACTGTAAATTAAGGTCACGTTTTAATAAAAGACAAATTTAAACAAAGGTTGGCTGATTGATTCATATGAGCAATCAATATCTAAACATATATACATAGTCGTATGCAAAACTTTGGCTGTCTCTGGTCAAATGATGTTCTGTTGATTTTCTATGTGAAAATAAGTTAGGAAACCTCCAATAAACAAACCTAAATATGGCTATTTTCAAAGATTTTAGAGCACAGTTTCTATTTATTTGCTGCATTTAACTTGGCAGACAAAATTAAAACATACTAGATGTATTATAAGTTCTGCACACAACACATTTTATGTGTTTTCCCCCAATGTGTTTTATATATATATATATATATATATATATATATATATATATATATATATATATATATATAAATATATATATATTGCTGTTGTCGGAAGAAAACCTTGTATCTCCATTTTTGTTGTTTTTCAGTTTTTGGCATAATTTGAAAACGCCTATGGCTCTTTACATTGTGTGCAAATTTTATGAAGAATGAACCAAAAGAAACAGTAAAGTAATAAGTTTTATTCAACCTTAATAAATACTTGAAGGAATGAATCAATCAATCAATGAATGAACGAATGAATGAATGAATCTTTCAATCAACGCAACTGTTTGAGTTGAATAAAACTAGTTCAACTGCTTGTTACTACATGAAGTAATTTTTTAGGTTGATCTGACGAGCCATTTTTACAGTGTATATTATATATATATATATATATATATATATATATATATATATATATATATATATATATGTTTATATATATTTATATATACACATATGCTGTACTGTATATCACATTTTTCAGTATTTAGCATGTCCACTCTTTGTCACAGCTTCCTTTGTTTTCAGCAGACTCACTTTCTGTTTTTCAAAGAAATCTGCAGGGATATTGTTCTACACCTCCAAAGTTCAGTCTTAGAACTTGGTTTAGCATTTTCTGCTTCTCACAGTGCTCCCAAATTACAAATTTAAACTCATCAGTCCATAAAATGTTCCTCTGTGACTCATCTCACAGCCCTGCAGGGATTAGCATTTTCCTTCTTCTAACACGCTGAGCTCAAACGATGAAGGCCACGCTAATTATCTAATATTGTACATCAGGTGTTAAATAAGTAGGTGTGCTACATTCTGCAGAGCTGTGATCTGCCAGGACTGGATCCTGACGCATGTTCTAAACTGTACATGATCATTCACAGTACTACCAGAAGTCTTCTCAGTGTGTTCATATAATTAATGCATGTGCCACAAAGCAACAGATGTGCCTCAATGTGTTTCCTTCTGCTGCTTCAAGGGCGATACAAACCTGGCATAGACAAACCGGATCCCAAGACATGGAAAGCCAACTTCCGCTGTGCTCTCAATTCACTGCCAGACGTCCAAGAGCTTCGAGACAAAAGCATCAAGAAAGGCCACAATGCCTTCAGGGTCTACATCCTACTCCCCAGCAACAAAACACCCAAGAGAAGGAAAGGCAAGTAGTTAGACACACATTCTTCCATTTACACGACAGATTTGTGTGATGTGATGTGAAATATGAAATGTTTTATACCTCAAGAATTCCTTACGCACTGTTTCTTCTACCAAAATGGCATCCAATCATTAACTGCTTGCTCATTTCTTTATGCTAGAGATGGGGAACATCGAGAAGATTTAATTAAATTGCCATTTTAATAAGGAATCATTTAACTAGTTGAGCTATCCATGCTCCATAAATGGGTTCTTTTGTAGCTACTGTTGTGAGATTGAAGCCTTACAGAAGGATGCAACTCATGGACGGAGCATGGAAAGGTCATTTACAGAGAGAAACGCAGCAGTATACATTATACAGGTTTTCAGGACTGAACACAAAAAGCATGAACAGTCCAACTTTACTAATACATGCATAAAAAATAGCAACAAACATATATTTCCATCTGGACTTACCATGGAGGCCTCTTTCTCCAGTTTTCAGGAGCTTGGATACGGACGCCGCCAGAGTTGGTTTGCCTGCATTACTGCCACACACCAATGCACCTCTAGAGCGGTTTACGGGTGAGTGAAATGCCATGTGCAGATAAGTTACCAAATAACAGCACTGCCATCGAAATGCTGCTCAAAACTGAAGCACAGGGCGGGTTTTTCAGGACAGTGATTAGGCCAAGAGCCAGATTAGAACGCTTCATTTTGAATGGATAAGCCCTGTTGACTGCGATTCAGCCCAAGATCTGATTGTAATCTCAGCATAGAAAACCAATCCCAGTTTTGACTAAGACTGGACGATATGGCAAAAATATAACATCACGATACTTAAGGACAGCTTCGCGATGCACAATACTTACCATATTTAGTTTGGACGATGGACAAAATGCACCAGCAAAATAGAAAAATCTCAAAAAACCCTGAAATTGTTTTTGGAAATTGAACTATTTAAGAAAGAACAGGAAGAAAAAAACTAAAAATTGGTTAAAAACAATGATAATTGCACAATAAGCTAAATTTTAATCAGATACTTTTTACTAGATACTTGTTTCTACTGAAAAGGTTCAAAGTCCTTTTGCTTTGACTGACCCTAAACGTTAATTATGTTAATTTTATTAAAACGCTAAAATAAGGCCCTGACCACAGACTAAACTCTGTGTTGCAGCAGTGACGTGAAATCGTGGCACAGCATTTTTTTTATTTAAAAAATACTTTATCATTTCAAATCTTTTAACTTCACTTTAATCTAAAAAGATATTTTTAAGAGCAACACTGGGGAAAAACTTTTTTAAACAAATTAAAGTATTATTTTCACAAGTGTAAATTTAGGGGTCAGGGTTTGAGACAGACACCTCCCAATAGAAAGTACCCTATGAATGATGACCATATATATATATATATATATATATATATATATATAATGTGTTAGTATCTCTATTAATGCATTGAATTTATATAAATAAGAGCATAATTCTTGTAAATATGTAAGATCCTTCATTATTTTTTTTTCTGTGCGAGCGTCGTTTGAACTAATTCAGTTCAGCGGTCCATATACAGGTTGCTCTTCTATTCAAACGCTCTATAATTGGTCTAAATCTGTCTTTTTTGTGTAATATATGCAGTTCTTCAGCATTCTAAAAGAAAGATTATATACTTATATAAGCACACTGTTACATGATTTATCACAATATCATATCATCATATCGCCTTATCCCAGAGGCCTTCTGGAAGTACAGGGAGGACAGCGCGGGAGTAGTTCCTGAGATGTTCACAAAACACGGCTACCCCACGTTTCCGGCGGTGAAAGAAGAGCGGTCAGCGAACTACTGCTGCTCTCCAGCTGCCATCAGCACTGCGGCGCACGGTGAGAGAACATATATCCTGCTCAGTCAGGATGATCGAGTCGCGGCAGGGTCATCCGGTGCTCTCTGCTCAAAGACACCTGACTGAACACAGTAATTAGTGTGTTTGAGCACGGAAAACACCAGACGTCCCTGATAGACTTCCTCCTCTGCTCCTCCCTACACTTCACATTTCTGTCTCTCAGCTACGTTTCACCTCCTGGATTATTTACAACCTGTTCACCATGATATACTCTGGACTTTCCACCCCCTCTCCTTTCTTCATCTCTTATTATGGTCTATCACTTTTTATACTTTTCTGTTGTAAGTATTGTGCAAAAGTCAGAGTCAACCCTTTGATTCAGTTCATTATTATTTCCAGTCAAAACAGCCATTAAATGCCTGTTTTACGTTCTTCAGCATCAGTGAAAAAGCAAAAAATTAAGCATTTCTGGGAAATTACAAATAAACTAACATCATATTCTTCAGTATTTAATATTTAGAGAACTGCAAAGAAATCCGTAGGGATAGCCTATAAAACCTTCCTCCAAATCTCAGATATCCTGATCTGGCTGGAAACTGAATGAATGTAAGTTTGGTCTCTGATTTTGCACAGCACTATATCTCTATTTTTTTATAGTTTGCATTCATACATATTAGTTTTTGTTCTGTTCTTACAGCTTGTATTGTGTACTTGAGGTATTGGAAGGTGCATTTGGTAACACTTTATTTGGAAAGCCCACTTTAGATGCTTTGTAGATACTTAATTTACTTTCAAGTTACATTCAACTAAATATCTATTAAATTGACCATCATTTTCTTTAACTCCAAACCTGCTCTAATCCTAACCCTATTCTTAACTCCAACCCAAAACCCTAACCTTAACCTCAACCCAAAACCTAATCCTAACCCTAACCTTAACCCCAACACAAAACCTAATTCTAAACCTAACCTTGACCTCAACCCAAAACCTAATCCTAATCCTCATCTTTGGCCCCAATCTTAACCCTAACTTTAACCCAAAACCTAATCCTAACTCTCACCCTGGCCCTAATCCTAACCCTAACCTTAACCTCAACCCAAAACCTAAGCATAACCCTCACTCTGACCCTAATCCTAACCCTAACCTCTAACCAAAACCTAATCCTAGCCCTGGCCCTAATCCTAGCCCTGGCCCTAATCCTAACCATAACTTTAACCCAAAAAATAATCCTAACCCACATTCTGGCCCTAATCCTAACTTTAACCCAAAACCTAATCCTAACCCCAACCTTAACTTTAAACCAAAACCTAATCCTAACCCTAACCTTAACTTCTAACCAAAACCTAATCAACAGTTTGTTAACAATTTGTACATTAATAGATAATCTATAGTGGACTATCCAAATAAAGTGAGACTGTGCATTTAAATAAACCGTAATATTGTTATTTTTATGTTAATTATTATCATAAACTGTACTCGACTCTGGCCTTTGAGGAACAGGACAGCCCTGAGTTGTGCAGTTATGGTGAGACTGCCTTTATCTAATACTCATGCATGTTCACTCTCCATCAGAAACTCAGGCTAACACAGCAGAGGACCATGAGCAGACAGAGGCAGTGTTAAAGGCAAGTTCACAAAGTTCGCCATGAACCTGATTATCAGGGTTCTAAGATTCCAGTGTAGTGTTGTTTTAATTAATCTCTATGAGCCCTGCAGCACTCGCGCTCCTGTCTCATGAACAGTTTAATTATCTGATGAACTGAATCAGGTGTTAAGAGCCAAAAGGGACAATCCAGCCCTATATTGGTCCATTACCAAACGCGCGATTTAAAATGTGTCTCTGTGAAACACCTGGGAATCGGACTCTAAAGCGTTGCCACGACTTAGTTAGACATGGTGGGAACAAGCCTAGGCAAGGCAAAAGATAACGATGTTATTCCCTTACTAAGTCATGGCCATGACTTAACTATCCCGTTCCTACACTTTACGAAGTTGTGGCCACATATTATTTGTATTAAGAAGGGATGTCGCCAGTGGGGCTTCATACAAAACACACGTATAATAATGTCTAATGTAATGAATCAGTGCAGAGCTTGACTTGACTCATCCTACGGACGATTTAATCAACATTTTACTCTATATTTACATTTACTTTAGTTCTGCTTCTTAACATGAAAAACACTACCTAGCTAGCATTAACCAGAAAGTGCAGATATCTGTTATCAGTTTCTACTTGTAGAAATGTAATTGTAGATGTTTGTAATTTTACTGTGTTGTTACTAGAAAAAATGTAATTATGTAGATGTAATCAAACTCCATGTAAATCAATGACTATTTAAATTTACATTGTGTATGTCATCCAATATGACTAGTTAAAACAGCTTTATAGATATGTATACTTCATATTAGTGTGACTAGCAAAAACTGCATAGTAGATATCTGAAATCATGGTTTTTACAAATACAAACTGCATTACAGATCTCTGAAATTTCACCAGTAAAACCAGTTACAACTTGTACCACTGGTGTCATTAAGGCTAAACCAGCTCCACAGGTTGTGGAGGTCTCCAAATCAAAAACAGAGCAGTGAAACGGGAGCCTCAGTAGAGATTTATGGATAAAGGGGCTAAACCCATACTGGGTGGTCTGGGGGTCTGCTTCCCCCAGGGTAAATGTGTGTTTGTCACCTATTTTTAGAGTAGCAATAGGCATAAAATTGATCCGAAGTATGACTATTTGGTGAAGTAGGCAGAGTAGATTTATCTCTTCATAATTTGTATTATGCACGGATCTAATATGACTCAAATGCTATCCATCCACTGACCACAGACACAGATCAAGCAACAGTACTGAGGTCAAGCAATCCTATCATTTCTCCCTTAGATAAGCTGCAGGTCCTAAATATGATATTCAAATACGTACTAAAGAGTAGGACCTGGTCACACCTGCTCCTTCAGCCCCGTCAGTCTCCTTCAGCTTCTCTCTTCTCCTGTAACACATTATTTTTTTTTATTATTAAACACAGAATTACAAGAACTCAAGGCTTAATTTTTACTGAAGCTGGAAAAAATCTCACCAAACTGGCCTTCCCTTGAGCTGCCACCTCTCTTAATGACATTTTGTACAGGTTGAGGAACTGAGGGATAAAAAATTGTGATCAAAACTACGACCATTTCACTGTAACTTACTGTAAACACGTCTTTCTCCTGCTGATGTGACTGCTTCAAATGCAAAAGAGGAATATTTACATTTACAGCATTTAGCAGACGCTCTTATCCAGAGCGACTTACAAAAAATATGGAAACATATGGAAATAAAGATAAAGAGCTGCCAGTAACGTTATTCTGGTCTTTTCTGCTCGTTCATATTCTCACTATCTGTTCAGTTTCTTTAAATCAATAATACAGTTAGCTCTTCAGCTAACGTTAGTGCTACATCCATCCCCCTTTAGTTTACCTGATTTAGCTAGCTAGCTAGCTAAAGTAGCTAGCGGTAGCTAACAAACAGTTCGATAGTCAGCAATATTTATCAAAAATTGTTACAAATTCGTGTTGTGGGCAGGCATTTTCACTCTGTAATGACTTACCATTTCAATCTTTACGTTATATATTTTGAAAAAAGGCCTAATTTCATTTCGGTGAGCTTTTAGCTAAAATCCAGTCAAAACTTTAGCGGTTGCTGACCTTTACAGAGTGAGTAGCACTAGTGACCGTCCGCGAGGTCTGATATGACTGGCTTACAACCTACGAGGTCTGTTACGATTGGCTGAGCTGGCGTTACAATTCTCATCGATGCTAAACAGCAGGATTGTCTTCTCGAATGTTACGCTAGCAAAGCTTTAGCACAGCCGAGGCAGCGCTGATTTAGTTTAACGTAAAATATAACCGAAATATCAATGTTTGTGTTGTGGAAAGACACATTAAACACAGGCTCACTGTGTGGAATCATGTCCAGAGCTTTGGCGTCGACTCTCGATTCTCTAATGCCTGGAATCAAAGAATTGATGCTTTTTGAGAGCCTTATTAGACACAAGTTTTCACTCATCCAGTGCAATTCCCCCGTTATTAAAGGTTAATGCCACTGATTTCTTCCAAAAATTCTACATAATTAAACGGTTCAGATGTAGACAGAGTTATGCAGAGTGGTTTGGTGTGAAACACTTCATTCTCGAGAAACTTATCAAGTCAGAACTGTTCACAGTGGTGGTGATAGGAACCAGACGTCCACCTCTAAAAGCTCCCTCACAGAAAGTTATTACATGATATGTAATGTAATTGTGAATTCACTGCCTGATGATTGAGACACTGTTTCATGATAGTTTTGCAGTAAGGATTTGGTCTAAAACGTATGTTGTTGTGCTGTAGACATAGTGAGCTCTGGTTCCTATCACCTCCACTGTGAACCAACCTGAATGACTGTATTTGAGTTACAGTGACTGAATTATAAAGACATTATGAAAATCACTGGAATTCCCCTTTAATGGGTTTTAATTCTTTTCTAATCACACACTCGTCTAACCTCGTGATACAGATATAGCAGATGGAAACTAGGCTGATAAAACACTTGTCTTCTCCTTTAATGCTTCCCTCTTTTGCTCAGCAGATTGTAGACCATCTTCAGAACCTGGAACATTGGAGCCCCCTGTATGAGCATGAAAGAAGTTGGAGACCACCAAATTCCTGGATGGAATGTCTTTGTAAGTTCCCAACACAAAACAAAATTGGCATTTTGAGCTTTGCATAAGCAAATGTAACCTTTATTATAAATTTTCCAAAAATATTTTGTAAAAGAAAGTTCCCTTAACATGTTAAAGGGGAACTACACAGATTAAAAAAAAATCCTTCATAACTACATTGCTAAGATGTAAACAAAGCCATGGAGAATGGCTTAAGCTCTGTTTTTGAGAAACATGCAAAGTCAGAGTAGTTCATAGTGTTGGTGATGGGAACCAGACGTCCTACCAGAGGTAGCTTCTAAAAGTTACCTCACATTAAGTTTGATAAAAATGACCACAATTTTGTTGCCTGGTATTGTTTTTTCAATAGTCTTGGCCTACAGTTTATATAACTATAAGCTACATATAAATATATATAAATAATACTATATATATATCTATATCTATATATATATATATATATATATATATATATATATATATATACACACACACACACACACACATTCATATTCATGGTGGAGGGGCGTTCTAAGGCAAAATACTCCCTGAAAATAAATCCCTGAAGAAAGCTTATTTCAGATTTATCACGATTTTACCACCATTAACATTCTATATAGAAACTCAGAAGACATGTAAAGGTTCACTGGTGTTTTGGACAGTAAATAAAATGTCTACATTTCCATTTTAGATATCACAACACCTGGTTCCCATCACCGCCATTATAACTGTTCACCATTAATCCACTCTGAAGAACTTTGTTCACATCTCAACCACTTAATTTTGCAGAGATTTTTAAAAATCTGTGGAATTCCCCTTTCATTTCTTTTACAAATATGCTGGTTTAAAGATCCAGTGTGAGTTTTTATGACTACTGTAATGGACAAAGACCCAGCCTCACTTCTACTCTTGTCTGATTTCAGATGAATCAGTGGACTGTTCAGGCTACCCCTTCCAGACAGACTGTCACAATCACAGTATCACAAGTCAATTTGCCTGAGACCACCAGCCAGACTCAGTTTGTTCCAACACCACTCAGTGCTGTAGAAGTAGCTACGGCATATCACAAGCATGAACAAAGTGCAATCGGATTAAGAGGTAACACAACTACTGGACATTTCTCCTGATCACGTGACACGCTATAGATATGACTTCGGCAAGCTATGACTGTATATGAATATTATGAGTACTGGGAATGTTGAATGTTATAGAGCTGTAACCGTGTTATGAGTGTGAACAGCAGAACGCTGGGCTGTACGTGTCAAGCTCCTAAAATAGTCAAGTCAAGATTTGCAAGCTATGGATGAGATCATTTTCTGTAAAGACTTCTTAAAGGTAGAGATGGCATTTCAGTGTTGATGGATATTGTTATTTGGGGCCGATATTCACAGAAAATGCTGTATCGGATATCAAGGGGAAAAAAGAATGTGCTCCAATTCTAGCCTGAAATAGTACATGCTCTCATTGTGTGATGTCATGTTAGCTTTTTAAAAGAATTGCTCATTTTAAAAGCTGCTTGGTACTGACCGATACTCAAGGTTTCAATATTAGTATCAGAAAAAAATTGCTACAGCTTTCGCAGTTATTATAGTCAATTGATTTCAATTATTTGAGCTGTTTACAATTATCATCCACAGTTATTAGCTTTTACAATCAGGTTTACATCCCAACAAACAGAATGTGAATTGGGTGCATCTTGGGTTGAGACAAATACTTCAATAATAATAGGAAATAAAAACTACTACACCACCATTAGAGGGCAGCAGTGAGTAATGTTTGTTTACTTGAGCTCACTGGGAGCTAATAAGCACCGATTCATGCTCACGTGTCAAACCCATGCCAGGCAACCTGACAAAATGGGGACAATCCAAGCCAAAGTGCTGCAGAGATCAGTGTTTACCCTCATTCAATGCTCTGAATTCAGTTCATGAGGCCTTACTAATTAGCTAATGTGCTGAATCAGGTGTGCCGAAGTCTGCAGTGTTTAAGCCCTCAAGGACTCGAGCCCGACACATGCGATTACACTAACTGCATTTTTCACCTTTCGTTCACTTAAACATCAGACTTTTGAAATTGTGATCTCAAATTTTTTCTTCTAAATGGGTGTCATTTTAGCATCAGTTAGCTGGAACCAAGTGTGTATTACAGTGGGAGGCACCGAACATTCGTGTTAGTTTTTCCCCGTCTATACTTGCAAAAAAAAGAAGCTAGAAATGCGATACTAGTCAAAGTTGTTACAGTCTGCGTCGCTGCGACATTGGCATTTCTGGAGGTGAGCAACCCGCTATGGCGTGGGGTATGCAGCTACTCACCACAGAGTCGACGCAGAAGCATACATTCGCCTTAAGCATCGACAGAGAAGGAGCAAGACAGCTTATCAGGTCACTCTATGCATGTACTTTAATAGTTAATTTTATACAATTAACTATAGATAATCCAATAATTAATCGCAATTATCTACACAGCAATTCATCATCGGCGGAAAGTGTGATCGTGACAGGCCTTGGCGTTGCGTCAACTCTAGTTGAAGAGAACTTCTATTTGGTACTTCCAGTGAAATATCCACTGCACATAATGCACAAAAGGAGAAAAACAAAAGCAGGTTTATCTTCATGTCTAAACGAAGCCTGAGCTTGCTTAATGATTCATTTTTGCAATTTTATTGCAGTAACTTTAACACCACAGTTGAAAACATGGGCATGAGCAGGTTCTCCTAAAGCTTGATGTGTAAGGAGCTTGATATGTACATTCCCAGAACTTGCTTTGTGAGTTCTGTACTGCTTTTATAATAAAGTTTATTATTATTATTATTATTATTATTACATGAAATGAAGTCAATTTATATGTTGCAAAGAATGTGTGGAATTACTTGAAAGAAAAAACAAACAATTAAGTGTATTAAGACCACTTTAATGAAATTCTCATTCACGTGAATGGGCTTAAATAGGGCTGTTTAAATACACAATTGCAAAGCAATCAGGTCATTTTATCAAGCAAGTTTCGGGAAGCAACATTCAAGTGAAGGGCAACGGTTGATTCCCCAAACACTAGTAACAAAGAAAACAGTCAAAGGCTGGAAAAAGTCAGAAGTCCAAGTGTGGGTGCTGATGGTTAATAATCAAAAGCTTGGCTAAAGCTTCGCTTCTGACCACCACCTCGTCCACCTCCTCCTCCTCTCCGGTTCCCGCCAAAGCTCTTTCTGTCCCCGCCACGGAATCCACCACGACCTCCACCTCTGCCTCCGAACCTGCCGAACCCCCGGTCGCCGCGGTTATGAGCGCTCTCCTCCAGCTCAGGGAGTTCGGTGGCGATGGTTAGCTGCCAGCGGCGGCTGTCCTGCCATTTGTCCTGTTAAAGCAACAAGTACAGAACAGCTCAGCGTTTTATTTGATAGCCTAGAGAGATGTTTCATTCAGGCTGACTTGTTTTGACAGCCAAAAAGGACTCTTTTCTGTGTCCTCACGTTGTGAAATTTGAGAGCCTTGACTCAAGCTTAAGGAAGCTAACCTAAGGAAGGCTAGGCTTTCAAACCTGCATGCTTCCATCAGCATGACAAATGAGCCTGACATGCTCTTTCAGCGTATAGATTTTCAGATGACTTTTAGCCTTTTTCACCAAACATCACTCGGTGTATCGAATTCTGCAATGTTTGCAATCTCGCTCTCTCTCTCTCAAACACATGCACACCACACATACAAAATCCCCATACCTGGATTTCTTTCACCTTCTCAGCTGGGACATCAAAACAGACCCCCTAAAAAAAGAAAAACGAAAAGATTAAACCATTAAAACATCCATTAAATCTCCAACTCAAACATGCATTTCATTTATTTAAAAAAAATAAATGAAATAAAATAGCTCTACTCATCAGACCTTTATAGATTTTTAAAAAAAGCTATAAAGGTGTTTTGAATGTTAATGATATGTTCTGAATGTCACTTGTTTAAATAGCAGTATGTAGGCAATGTCTACAATAAAATAATCATTACAAATAAAGATTAAAAACCTGTCCACATAACGATGCACAGTGTCGCTTTATCCTGAAACATTATAAAGGAGGAGGAGACAAAACTTGGCTGGTGTACTTGTAATGCTCAACACTGCATCTATAATGTCTCTACAATAACAGTAAATTCACACAGGGCAACAATTACAAGACTTATAAATGGCATAAAATCTTGGTGCAACACACCATTCTGCCCTTGAGGAAGGTCATTCGTTTGATCTGGTCATCTATCTCCTCTCCAAGCTGCTCCTTGAGGCCTCGCCAGGCGTAGCCGATGTTGTGCATCTCCTGAGAGCAGTTGAGTACTAAGGTGGTACATCCCTGTAAGAAAAAACAGAAATAAACCAAGAATAATTCATTAAGGATCTAATCTGCCAATTAATGAGTCACTACAAAGCTGGTTTCTGGATAGTTTCGCATAAAATGATTCGTGAATGATAGTCCATCCTTCAGCTTTGGGGCAGCACTGCAGAGGCTACTTACGGCATCAGAATTCAGGAGAGACCTTTGCTCCAGACTGGTGGCTCCTGATATGTGAGCCAGAGCAGCAGCCAGTGCCTCCACAGGGCCTCGCTCTTCAATCAGCTTCTCAGCCGCCGAGCGGAAATATTCCACAGCTGCCGCTGGTACAGAGTCCAGGTACCTATGACAATCACATCAAGGGTCATTGACTTCATGGTTAAAACGATTCTCCAGTGTTTTTCTCCAGCGTCCATCTGCTGATCGGACTGTCGATGACCATAGACAGAACAGCAGAAAATGCACTGACTGGAAATCCACTTATATTAAAATCCACTGGGCAGTTGCTGAATTTTGTGAATCAACATGAAATACCTGAATCACTCCAAATAAGGAAACCAAACTGCATTCTGCATTCACTGTTTTTGTGATCATCACTAAAAGAACCTGTTTGTGTAATCGTATGACATAGTTTGAACACCCCCAGTCAAATGACATGTATTGTTGACTTTCCTATTAAAAATAAGTTTCACACCCTCTACAGAGAACACACCTCTGCATATTTAAATACAAAGTTACTGTTTATTTGCTGATGTCAACATTTTTTGGGGGAAAAAAATGATGGCAGGGTGATTCAAAAAGATTCATCCAATTTCAAAGCGCCATATTTTTACAACCGTGAGGTGCCTAGGAACCAATTACACTCCAACTGAAAGAGGGGGTCATAGAGTTTCTGACACTGGATGATCTCCGAAATCACACTGAAAGAGCCGTGAGTGCAGCAACACCCGACACGCTCAGTCGAGTATGGGATGAATTTGACTATGGCGTTGATGTTGTCTGTACAGCTGGAGGAGGTTCATACTGAACACTTGTACAATTACATAATAAACTTTATGCTCATTTAAACCATTTACAGTTTACTGCACTGTTCTGTAATAATTTACAAGTAAAATAAATCATTTTGAAATCAGATGATTCTTTTTGAATCACTCTGTTTTACGCAGTTCTTTTTTGTTAATATTAAACTCGGCAAACAAAAATACAAATTAAGCTGTAGAATTTGCAGAACGTCATTTGCACACGTCGTTTGACTAGCATTTAGCATTTCAGCCTGGACTGCTTTTTGAACGAGCTGCAATACAGGGCAGCCAATCAAAGCACAGTAATAAAACAAAACCAACAATAAAGAGACGTTGGAAAATGAACGATGACCTATTTTCAGTATGTAAAACCTCAAGGGGAAAGAAAAATGTAATAAGAAAAATGTAGGTCATTTAAAATGAGACATCAGGAAACATCTCACCAAAGCTTGTGAACGGGTTCTGTCCAACTTCCTGAAGCAACACAGTAAACAAGCGGCTATTTACTTTCACTTTTCTAATACCCATAAATCATTAATATTAAAATCAGAGAGGAACGTCTGAGGCACCGCCATCTTTTTCATGTTTTGGTGGTTTGTATGGTGTACTGGGTAACACCTCTCTGCCTTCCATGTTGTAGACTGGGGTTCGATCCCCAGCCCGGGCAGGCACCCTACACTATACCAACAAGAGCCCTTCAGGTAGACTCCTAACATTATTTTCGCCTACCTGTGTAAAATTATTAAACTGTAAGTCGCTCTGGGTAAGAGTGTCTGCCAAATGCCATAAATGTAAATGTTTACTTAGAAATGAA